AGACTGTAATTGTTGATCCCGTTTTGCGTTGAACCTTTTCGTTTCACCGTCATTTGACATTGAAATATGACAGCTATGTGCGAATTAAACACATCGTTTTGCGAAGCTCAGAAGAAGCAAAATGACCCACTGCAAGTGCATACCTCGATATAGACTTCTTCACTATTGAATTCTCCGTTTGATCAGGGGATGTCCTCCAATCCCGGTAGTAGAATCCGAGATACATGCGATCAGTGCGAAAGACGTCCCAAGACTTTCTTTGATACTGTATGAGAGTCAATTTCTGAATCCTCGTTGGCATTCCAATTGTTCGAACACATGTGCGCAACGAATTGTTCGTCCAACCGGCAGGGCGAAATTTCTGATGAGTCCTTCTCCTTCTGACCCGACTCGATAAAAATAAATTCGTAAAAGCAGAAAACATCTTTTAAGAGACTAGAATGCTTATTTGACATTTTATAGTGGGAAATCTGATGCTACGAAAGACAGGTGAACAATCTTCCGGCTGTCGATAAGAAGGTCCGTAGATTGCGACTGAATTCTGTAAACATTAGTGAGGATTGTAGTGTATAGCTGATGCGAGTTGAATATCTTACTGAACGACCACTGCCTTGTGCCGAGAGAATTCTACTGTCCCCGGAAGCCCTGGCAAATTTCGGTGAATGCCATGGATGATATACATTCCTCCCAAGAACCCGTCCTGCATGGAAAATAATTTAATAAGCATAACCCAACAGCACTCTGATAAAATCTATCAGTGACGTACCCGATAGTTTGAGCTGCTAGTAGATTCAACGGCCGTTAACCATTCGACTTTGAGACCCTTCGGCGCTTCGTTGCGCATAGCGATGACCATGTGGACGATGTCATCGTATCCCAGCTGCTTTCCGTTCAAAGTTGCGTTTATCGAGTTTGAAAATGTCTCTTGTATTGCTTTTAGGGACTCCTCGGAGTTGGACGACTCGAAAACAGCGCATATGTGTTTTTTCGACCATTCCGCCAACGAGCTTAGTTGAGGCATATGTTATGAGTGCGTAGCTTCAGAAACCGAGGGCAGGCTTTGTGGTGGGCGGCCTTTGAAGGTCAAAGATTTTGTTTGCCTTCCACACTTCTTATTCCTCTGGCTTCGAATTAAGCAAATCATTTGCCTGTCATTTTAGCTCAGCTTCCTCATTCATGCATGCCTATTGATCATTGCCCATGTAATAAGTAGTCGAGGATGAATGATATGTAGTAACTTACTAGTAAGTAGCACTCTGATCACATTAGGGCTTTGTGCACCCAAATCATAGACGAAATCCTCTAAGAAAAAGGTAAACAAGCAAGGAGTGTATGAATTGGAAAGAAAGAAACGCTGACCAAGTATGTAGTGCGTGTGGCGGCGCAGCGGCATACGTTCGGCTCAGGGCCATCTCGGCGCCTAATACTTAAATTGCTATTAGGGGCGTTATGAATGCTCCCACGCATGTACGCAGATGATCTTGTAAAGCAAACTCAGCCATTCTTAGTAACCAACTTCCACCACCAAAACTCGCTCCCTGCGTCTCCCAATGAACAACCCACCTGGGGGAAACGAAGAGGCGCACGAAGTCAATGTATTTCTCCAACGACAACAGCGCCTCCTCAAAGCGGTCAAGGAAGAGCTCCAAGCTTCGCACGAGAAGCTCAAGCAAACGCTCCGCCAGCATGATGACATCTTCTACCGTCTCTTCCCTCCCGTCCGACCTGGGAGAGATCCCGTGCTCATCGACTCTAGCATAAAGGAGTCGCGGAAGCAGCTGTCTCGGCTACGACAGGAAATCCTTGACCAAAGGATAGAGTTGGAGAGTTTGGACATGCAGCCCTCAAGTTCGTCGCACGGTGCAGGGTCGTCGAATGTGCCTCATCTCCCGGATAGCCATAATCACGAAGGCAAAGGAAGAGATGATACCGACGCTTTCATCAACGAGCGCCGTAATAACTTGACCAGACTCAAAAAGGAGTTCGTCGACACTCGACTCCATCTGGACAAGTTGGAGGCCCTCCTCTCTCCCATTCGACTCCTCCCAATAGAGGTCCTTGGGGAGATTTTCAACTACTGTCTCGATGACACAAGCTTGGAGCCCATGTCCTTGAACTCTGGTCCACTCTTGATGACACACGTCTGTTCTACATGGAGGAGGATTGCCATCAACAAATCCAACTTGTGGGCCAACATCTGGGTCACTATCGACAACGACGAGGACAGGGGAGGCTGGCCAGCCCTCGTAAAGCTATGGATTGAACGGTCCGGACAACTTCCCCTCCGTTTTCATATCCAAGAAACCGAGAAACATGACTATGCCCACCATCCGGATTCCGTTTTCTTCCGTGTTTTGGATGTTCTGCTACCCCAAGCGCATCGGTGGAAAAGCGCGGAATTGCTCAATCGCAACTTCCAAGCGACTGCGGACATCCAATGGTTCCGTAACCTCCCCGAACGACCAGATTTCCCTCTCCTGGAGTCGTTCACCTTGCAAGCGCGGAGAATGGAGCAGCAGGAATTGGCACGGGTGACAGAAATGATTAGGCAGTCTCCGCGTCTGCAGTCAGTAACATGGATGATCAAGACGGCGGTGACAATGCCAACGCTACCATGGGCACAACTGACGCACCTCACATTGATCTTCATCTGTTCGCTGGACATGACCTTGGACATCCTTTTGGAGTGCCCTCACCTCCACCAGCTGGATGTTAGTGTCCAGTTAATCCAAGGCACGCAAGCTCTGCGTCACGTCACCCATACGAGCCTGGAAACCCTCTATTTCTCATGTTCGGGGATCTTAGGACCGCTGTTCGACGCCATCACCCTGCCCCGCGTCAAAGACCTCACCATCGACCAGATGCCTGACATCCACGTTCCGGAGATAGCGAACGGGCCGTGGCCCCACACCGCCTTCATGGAGTTCCTCAAGCGCTCGAACTGCGCCCTCGAAAAATTCTCGATGATGGACATCGTCGTCGTTAACGACGCGGACCTCATCGACCTCCTGCGCGGCCTCTCGCCGTCGCTGGTGCACCTGGTGATCGACAACGAGGACTGCCCCTGTGTCACGGACGCCGTCCTGCGCGCGCTGTCGTATCCGATCTTCGCCGACTACGTTCGGGAGCATGGGGTGCTTGCGGTGACGAAGGAGGCGTTGGGGGATGTGCTGTGTCCGCGCCTGCGGGAGCTGAGGCTGAACGGGTGCATGGTGAGTACCGACGGTGTTCTGGCGGATATGGTGGAGTCGAGGTGGGATTGGCCGTCGGACGATTTTCCTGTACTGCAGGGGCTCTTGAGGTGCGATCTGAGCGTCCATTCCCCACCCGCCAGGCCGCTCGATCAGGAAAGGATAAAGGTCCTTCACTCGAACAGAATTAAATACAATATCATCGATACTTATTGAACATTTTTATATATTTTGTTAATGTATTTGTATAAAAGTATTGGCTGGAGTCATCATCTTCATAAAAACCCATCGTTTGATGCTGTTCACGTCCTCGAGCGCGCAGCTACCCTGGCCCATGCCAATTGTATTGGCCCCCAACATAGGCTCTATCCATAGGAGCCCGATGCCCCAACGGCGCATCCAACTTTTTGATTTCAAGATCCAACTTTGAGGTTGGCCTCAGCGCGTGCCAACTCGATCTGAGCGCGCTTCGTTTGTGCTTCCTCTTTAAGTTGGGTACGCTTTGTAGTTTCTTCTTCTTGGACTCGTTTGGTGAGCTCTTGCTCGAGGGCGACCTTCACCTGATGTTCCAGGGCCTCGCGATTCAGATTAGTCTTTGCGACTTCCAGGGCCACCTTCGCCTCTTCCAGGTTGTACTTCTGGCGCATAGTCGCGGACTGGAGGACCAAGACAGCCATTGCAGGGGTTCTAAGCAGCATATACTCAGCGTTAGTGATTGCCTAGCGTGTTGGGTGGATGCGACAGCAATCATTACTCTGTATGCTCAGAGCCAATAGCAGGGCTGATTTTCTTGTGAGCGAATATGAAAGATATGGTTAACTAGTTGTTGCCATGCCTATTTTCTCTACCATCGGCAGCTCGTTCGTCAGCTTTCCGCGGCTTCATACTGAGTTTCTTGGACTTTTTCGTGGGGCGGTCATTAGCATCTTCGGGATCTCCAGGGATTCTCCCATCGATAACGATATAGTTGGGAGATTTGGGGACAAGAAAGGAAGACATAGCAAATGACTGTTGTTCGGTAAAGATAAAGAAGGAACGTCTCATTGACAGCCCGCCGCGAGGGTCAAACTCCGCGGGGGCCAGACTCGCAGCCGTTATCCGTCGCGAGCGTTCGACACGACGCATCCAGCTTTTTGGATTCAATGCAACTTCTTGGATTCAGACGCGAGCGCGATTTCGGTGGCCTTGACGTTGGCCTGAGTCGATCTGAGCGCGCTTCGTTTGTTCCTTCTATTGGGTTTGGGCTCGTTTCTGCTCGTTTGGTAGTCTCTTGCTCGATGACGATTTTCGTCTGGTATTCGAGGGCATCCCGATTAATTTGTGCGGTAGCCGTGTTAGCTTGTGCGGATTTCTTGGCCCTCTTCTAATATGTATTTCTGGTGCATGGCCGTGGATTGACTGAGTACCGCGACAACCTCATCTTCAACTGGAGTGCTTCAAACAGCAGATGCTTAGCTTTAATAACATGTTGGACGGATGTTGGATGGATGCGATAGCAATCGTTACTCAGTAGACTCAGAGCTAATATCAGTGGTAATCAATTCTTTGTTAGCGCGGTTAACTAGTTTTCATACCCGGGCGCCTAATTTTCTTTTGCACTATTAGCTCGTTCGCCAGCTTTTCGCTTCGTACCGGCTTTCTTAATTTCTTCGTGGGGCGGTTGTTTGCATCATTAGAGTCTCCAGGACTTCTCCCATTGGTGGTATCATTGCGAAAATTTGGGACAAGAAGCGGAGGACTGTTACTGGATGTCCGATGAAGGAAATACGTCGAAAAAGAACTCAAAAGGCTGCAAAAAAGAAACATCTTAGCCCACCGGGAGGGTCGAACTCCCAGCCTTCAGATTTAAATGGACCCGCCTGTTAAGAGTCTGACGCTCTATCCGATTGAGCTAGGCGGGCAGTGATTCGAAAACGCATTTTAAAAATCGCCGTTCGTATGACGCTTTGTTTAGCGCTCAGCGCTCACTGAGCGCTAGCACTGATATGATTAAAGAAACAATCAGGGAGATAACAAGTACGCACACTCATCAAGGCCCAGCTGTGTGCATGAGGCTCGTCGATGCTGAGATACATAATATAGATCCCACTTACCTTGTTGTGTTTACAGTTCTCGCACTGTTGAAACTTGACTTGCATAATTGCATTAGCATCTCAACTTGTTCAATGGATGAGGAGCTCACATGAGATTTATGTTTCCTTTATAATGATAGGCTTCCCAACTCTCGGATCTATCATCTCGCTGCGCAGTGGACTGAGCTGATTGAGAAAGAAAAAAAATCAAAGCCAGCAAAAAGAAAAGAATAAACTAGCCCACCGCGAGGGTCGAACTCGCAGCCTTCAGATGGTCACGTAAGCCGCCTATTTTTAGACTGTCTTAAAAGTCTGACGCTCTATCCGATTGAGCTAGGCGGGCATGTCGGCTAAGAACATTGAAGGTTTAAGAATGGATTGAAGGTTTAAGACTGAACTTGCAAAACCCACCGTATCTGCTTCACAAACCTTCCGCCTTCTCCTCGAAAGGATACGGTATTTCTGCCTAACGGAAAGAAGGAAAAGAGGGGATAGCTTCAGTGTATAGTCTTGTTTAAAAGTAAGTTCTTCTATATCTAATACGGATTATTCAGAAAGTCGACCACAAGTTTACGGAATTCGGTGGGTTTTTCTGCGTGAACTACGAAACGACGGATCAGCTGTGATACGACACCGTACACGAGTATAATAGTTACCCCAATGACCCGCGTCTAGTTGTTCCAAACGCATGTGGGGGAAGAAGGCTCGGAAAGCAGGCAAGTTCCTGTGGTTGATATATCTAACGAAAAACAAAGCATTTAGCACAATTATTCGGTTTTGAGGTATGGCACTTACGCGCTCTTGCTGCCTTTCACAGCTAATGTTGGCCCGTCCCAGGTTGTAGGTACGCTGTCGTCGGCGGCATTGTATTCGTATGGGAATGATCCCAAGGCATCTATCGATTGCGATAGGATGTCCAAAGGAACGATGAACTTGGCTCTGTCCTCGCCGACCTCATGATGGGGATTAGTCCGAGAATGGCTTGGTAATTTGAGATTGGTGAGTAAGAATTGTCGAATAGACAAGTCCTAGTTTTATCCCGTTGCGTCAGTGATTCCGTAGAAGTGGAATTATTAATTATTAACATACGGGTTCATATGCCTTCAGCCGAATATCAGCATCGGTTCTCGTCTTTATGACGCCCGGCGGTAGCGCTTCAATCTTTTGCATGGCTTTTATGTATGTCATGAACTCATCAGAGAGTTTGCCTATTGAAGGCGCGATGTCGGCAACGATGAGATGCGAAAGCGTATCAGCTGGCACATTTGTTTCTTTCGTAGAAAGAGCATATGTCATGGCGACTTTTCCTCCCCTGCAAAAGATTCGTCTGAGATATTTGAACAATGGACATCGGAACAGCGACGCACATAGAGTGTCCTAGCAATGCAACGCCTTTCAGCCCCTTGTCTTCGATAAACCGGTGTACATCTGATGCCATAGCTTCATAGGTCATGGGTGTGGCATGAGGCGATGTGCCATGGTTCCGCAGATCGAGCGCGTATATAGGGCGGTGGGGCATATCGCGATGGAGAGCCTTGCAGATAGACATCCAGTTCCGCTTGGATCCACTGTTCAATAGAAAGTCGGTAAGGGATTAGTGAAACGCATCCGCGAATGCGACTTACAATAGCCCATGTAGAATGACTAGCGGCTTCTCTGTAGCGTTTCCGTCTTCCGGGACAATGACGTTGTATTCAAGCTCGACTGGTTCATGAGAGCTGATTGGGACATGTTTTCTTGAGAAGGAGCGTGTTTGTAGGTATGTTCTAGGATGCCATTGTCTTGTCCATTGTCGAACTGGTCTATGGAGAGTGTGGGTGATGGGCATTCGGTTGTACCAGTCTGTAAGAAGGGTTTGTCTGGGAGCTGGTCGCGAGTATCTTATTTGGCATTGTTGTCTCTGAGCCTTGGGTACTTAGTAAGTATACGGCGCGTCCAGCGCACGTCGCACAGGAAATCATTTCTTTTATAAGGTCTGTTTTAGGAGACTAGTCGCACAGGTCATGGGAATGCTGTGTAAATCAGCTCAGAGCTGTGTGGCCCACTGGCCAGCCACTGGCCCATCCTTACTTGTCACTTATATCACTGGCAACCTTTGGATGGGAAAGCCAGATACCACCGTTTTGACCGTTGCTCAGCGCTGATCACACATACCTCTTCGAACTACTCTTCAACCCATCCAACATGCCTTCAGAAGAAATCACACAATTCTTCCCGAACGCAAGGCACACCACTATAAGCGGGGGGACACTAGCAGCTATCCGTGGCGATATGAACATTTATCATGCTGGGTCAGAGCGTTATGGTAAGCACCTTGTCTGTTGTGAATTATTCACAAAAGTATGTATCGATTAACTGAAATCATATACTGTAGGAATGAAGCTTTTGATCGCCAATGTCATTGAAAGCGCATTTCACAACGCCGCCGAGCGAAGCAATCCCCAAGATGCCACCCGCGCACTCGCTCAGCTATTCGCACAGAGATCATGGATTGGATCAAGAACCAGGAAGCCGGACACAAGTTAATCCTCTGGTTGTATGGACCTGCAGGAGGTGGTAAAACCGCAATCGGGCAAAGTATTGCGGAGGAGTGCGAGAAGCAAGGTCTCCTCGGAGCGTCATTCTTTTTCGATCGCACCGCTGCTGGACGAAACACCATGGGTCGGTTCATTGCAACTCTGGCTTATCAGCTCACGCTGTCTATACCCCAGATACGCGAAACTATTCTCGCAGCAATCGAGCGGGATCCTACTATCTTTTCCCGTCAACTCTTGGTACAAATGCAAACACTCGTCATCACACCTCTGATATCCTTTGGAGGACTCGGCCAGCCTTGGTTTGTGGTCGTGGATGGCGTCGATGAAATAGGACCCACTGGCCAACCGCAGGCGGAACTCCTACATGTGGTAGGGACTGCCGTTTCCGAATTGAAACATATCCCTATCATTTTCCTCATCATTAGTCGACCAGAATACGACATCCGCATGGCATTTAATGCAGATCCTCTCCACTCTCTCATGGAGGAACTCTCCTTGGACGAAAGATATGAACCAGACGCGGATATTAAACTCTATCTGACTGATAAATTTCAGGAAATCCGACGCAAGGAACTCGCACTGGGGACCAATCTCCATTCTTCGTGGCCATCAGATAGCGACCTTGATCGTCTCGTCGCGAAATCTTCGGGTCAATTCATTTACGCAGCTACAGTAATGAAGTTTATTGACTCTCGCCGGGATCCTTCAGAAAGGTTGAAGATTATTCTTGGCTTATCTGATCCCGGAAAAGAAACACCTTTCGCAGCTCTGGACGCGCTTTATCGATTTATCTTGTCTTCTGTCGACGATCTCCCGAGGGTTCTAGATGTACTGAGGCTCCTCATACTTGGTGGTGATTACAGTTATGGTTTGCAAGTGGGCGTGATTGAGGAGCTCCTTGGTTTCGAGGTCCGTAGAACTCTAATGGATATGCACGCCCTTGTATTTGTTCCGTCCCCATCCGATCCTGAATCTATCCTTCACACACATCACGCTTCCTTGGCCGACTTTCTTATGGACGAATCCCGCTCATTGGGCTTTTTTATCAATTCAAAGCAGGGGCACATCGCCTTAGGTCGATGCTGGCTTGGGATGATTAAGGATTACTATAATCCTATATGTTTCAAACCTAGATCATCTTCGCTAAAGCTTGCGATTGAGGGTTTCATTTCTCATTCCAAAAAAGCCCCAGAAATTGCAGACGATTTGGCAAAATTTAATTTGGAGAAGCTTATGAAACAAATTCGTGACGCCAACGATCTTTATGGTTCAGACTGGTCAAATTTCCTCCAGTGCGCATGGCGACGGGTGGGTGTCACAATTTCATTTAATAATTGGCGTACTCAACATTTTACGATCTTAGGCAAGAACTAAATCCGACGTTTTTCCCCGATTGCAGAGCGAATTCCATAGCTTCATCATAGACAGGCTTATGCGCTATCCTCCATCCCTCCAGGCTTGCATCCCTGCCCTATTTCTCGTTGGAAACTGTGGAAATACCTTCCAAATATTACTTTATGGTGCAAGTAAATCAATAGCGGAGCTTACGCAAATTCGCGAACTCGACAAAATATTGCTCAATATGAGAACAGCGGATCAAAATGATGCTTTTTCCGAATTTTTCAGAGACAAGTTGAAATCAAGGCGCTATCATGCGGACCCAAATGCCTATCTGGCGTTGGCTACCCAAATATTCAAAAGTCATTCGCCCCGAGTAAGCCCACATTTCCAAATGTGCTGTACATCTGTTTGACGATCAGTTGACCATGTATACTTTGTAGGTCTGGCAAAAGAGTTGAGATCGCAGAAATCGAAAGCCTTTTAGGTCTGGAAGACCCGCCATTTCAGCTCGAACATTCGGATAATCTCTCCACATATCGTGCGCTGCCTGCAAGCCACAATTGGGTTGAAAATATGCTGGATATGACTCCAAACAATGTAAATTTTGCTGTATTCTTGCAAAAAGGTTCTCTTCAATATCGGAGCGATCCAAATCCTAAGCTAGGACGTAGGACTATTGCCCTTGCGGCTTTAAATTATGTCCAGGTGAGTCACTTGAAACTTCGATTTTTTTTTGTTTTGGTCGTTTCAATATATTAAATGGATGCTTTGGTTTTGGCTTTGCTAGAAGTGTGGCATACCTTATCTCAGACACACTCATCAAGATGACACCGAGAAATGTGTGGTTTGCGAGACATGCCATGTTGCTTCCTGGACTTTAGCCTTGCTGCAGGAGCGGGTCTTTCACATACAAACACAGACCGAGATGACAGTAGACGAAGTTGAACACTCCACATCAACATGGTCGTGTCTCTGCTGCTGTCTATCATCGAACAGCCTGGAATGACCATTTCTATCATCGCCTTGTCGCACAAGCCCGCGGCCATGTCCGCAGTTGCCTGTCCCATCCCAACTTCCTCGAGCACATCATTGCTGTTTTGCTTACCTCGTTCTCCCCGTCTACATTCTTACTTACTGCATGTGCCTCCTGCTGTTTTAATGCGGAGAAACCCACTTTGATGTGCACTGGTGAAATGACCTCGTCTTCTTTACACCCATGTCCATGCCCATCGGGCACCCAAGCCCCTTGAAAAGTTGTGTTTACCTTCTTTCGCCTCCTTCCCTACAACTTCAGCCCTCTAAGAGATCAGATAGAGCTATTTCCTAACTCTACCAGCACCAATGACTAGTGATTTATCACGCGGATTTCAAGTTTATTTTCGGCGCTTATTTCAACAAGTCATTCTGCGTACTAATTGTGATAGTCAATACATTAGGATTGTCCGACACGCTGTCTGTAGCCTTC